ACCCCCCGCGGACCGCTCCCGGCTCGTCGCCTCTGGCAAACGGCGCTGGCAAAAGCGCTTGACCTCGTCCATGTCCCGCGAGTCGAGATCTGCACCACCTTTCCCACGGAAGAAAAGCCCCTGTCTGCCCCACACACACACACACACACACACACACCCCACACACACACACCCCCACACACCCCCACACCCACACCCCCCGGCGGCTGCAGGCTGGGCCCAAATAACGGGCGGCTGAGGGGGAAGCAGCAGAGGAGGCTGCGGAGCGCTTCTCCCGAAAGGTGTTTCCTGAGGAAATACAGCATGTCTTGGAATTGCAGGAAGAAAATAGTTGTTTTGTAATAAATACTCAGGTAAAGCCTTTGCTCGTAATGGGATTGCCTCACGAGGCGTCAGTCTCGCCTGTCGCTATGGCACATCCGTCTCGCAGGGGGAAGGGGAGCCAGGGCTGAGGTGCAGGGCTGGCTCCCAGCGCAGGCCACAGCCGCTCCCTTGCCTGCGAGGAGAGGCATCGTAACAGAGCCAGGAGCACAGGGGTTTCCTGCCCCGGAGGCTTTTTTTTTTCCTTTTTCCTGTGATAGGATTGAAGTGATAATTCTGCGCTCCTGTGGCCAAGCACCTTGGGTGGGAGAAAGGGCGTGGGGTGAGCTCCTGAGCTACAGCATGTGCATGATCCCGTCACCGAACCTCCGAGTTGCAAAATGGTGTGGAGAGGATGTGGGAGAAACAGGAAGGGATCAGTTTTCCTCCTAAAAGGAGGGAAAGGAACGGCATTGAAGGAATGAAGTATAAAACGCATTCCTTTCCCAAGATACAGCATAGGTTGTGTAGAATCTGTCAGCTGTGATAATAGTGTCACGGTATATATATCCGTTTCTCTGTCCCACCTGCTTCTGTACCATACTTGCATCCCAATATTTGCATTTTGGCACTTCTAATTGCTGCTATAGTGGTAGCCAATTAATTTGCCAATCTGCTTTCTGCAGATGGCGGTGTAGATTCACGTTCTAAATCTGGTGATGCACAATTTACTTCACTGTGAAGCTAGATAGTTACAGGATTTTAAGTCTGCTCTGTTAAGCTTTTTGTTTCCGGATACTGCTACTCTGCAAACCTGAACACTGAGAAAGGAAATGTTTGTCTAAGTAATGTAAATACAGTATAAATGTAGCAAATTTGAGCTCAGAACTATACCTGGATTTCACACACGTCGATTTCTTACCAACCTCTAGAGCCTGCTCAGAACTCTCCCTTCAGGTAGTGCCCGGTGATATTTCCCCCTCTCCCGTTGAAGCCGTTCCTGTTACTTTGTGCGAGCTCCCAGCTCCGTAGCTGGCAGCGAGCAGCCTCCCTCCCCGGGGCTGTGTGAGCCTGGCTAAGAACCGGCCCCTGCAGGGGTTTTTGGGGTTGCCTTTGCGTATCTGGGAGGTGAGGCAATACCAAGCAGTTTTATTTTTCCGATTAATTTGCCATTTCATTTCAGGCCCTGTATCCAGACCTGGTCTATTCTTCTCCTGGTTGGAACAGCTGTATTCCTGCTCCCTCTTCCAGAGCTTCTGACCGTTCTCTGAAGTTGCGTGTTGGAATAACGCACCTCTTGGCATCTTCAGCTCAACCTCTGACCAGCATCGTGGCTAGTCCTTCAGAATGGTGCCTCTTGGCTTCTTTGGCTCTTGACCTCATCACCAAGCCATTGTCTGTTGCATAGTTGTCATCGTGAAACACAATGCAAGCACAAGAGCAGAGTTTTAAACACCATGCCTATCTTGGAGAAATTGAAGGATGCAAAGAAGAAAATTTGTTCGGGATTGTATCAAAACCTTATGTGCTCCCAGACCTTGCTGTTGAAGAGCTGCCCTGTCAGAGTAGCCATAAGGTATTCAAATTTAGCGTTCTTGTAGAAATAAAAGAAATCAAAGTATGCAACAGCAACATTTAACTTTGGAAAGGGGAGCCATGCAAAACAAGGAGGTCTGTCAAAAGAATAGTGTTTAAGGGGTTGTAATGTGGAGGTTGCTTCAAGACACAAGTATTAGAAATGCAGCCCAGGGGCAGGTCACTTGTCAAAACACTCAAGAAGATCTCAGAAATAATGGTGGCCTTTAACAGAGTGGGAGAGGCTATCTGACGTTAAAAAACGCCTTCCTAGGAAAGAGAAGTTGTGTCCGAACAAAGAAAATAGAAAAGGCGATCTATCAAATGTAGAACTACTGTGTGGCAACCAGAACGATCTCAAAGAGAAACTTGCTGAAGGCGTAGAAAAATGTTTGTGTTCATTAGAATTAATATCTGATCACCTGCCATCTTACCAGCTTCGTCAAAAGCGTAACAAGAAGTGCTCAGGGAGAAATAAGGCTGTAGCAGAAAAGATGCCGCATTTCTGTTCACTGCAGAAGATTCTCCTCAGGGCAGAGCCTTGTCTTGGCGTGGGCATACATCGGAGGAACTGGAAATGTCAGTGGGGTTTAAGCTTTGAAGTGACCAATGAGATATTCAGGACCAGAATAGAAGGCTTAAAAGGAGCTGGGATGTGACATTACTTAGCTACTAGCAGTGGTTCCAGCTAGGTGGCCAGGATGCTGGTTTAACCGATCTCCAGGAATGACCTGAAGACCTACAGAAGAGAAGCCTGACCAGGCGGGTTGATCCAAGCCATGGGTACCAGAAAGCGTCGATCACCAGATGCACGTGGCATATTTGGAGTCAGCACAGCTCTTTCAGAGGAAGGTCAGTTCTCCAGATCTTGCCAGATGTTTCTGAGGGAGTCAAAAAGCAAATGCTTGTGGTTGATTTGATCGTCACAAAGCGCTTGAATTTTTAAGAAAGTTTTCCTCAGGTCCCTTGCCAAAGGTTCTTGAAACTATTCAGCTATAAGGTAAGATCGTGGATTAGCAGCTAGATAAAAGCTAGGAGGAATGGGGCAAGTAGCTTGTTCACTGGTGACAGTTTGTGACATGTCTTTTGCTACGTACTCATAACTCATCTAAGGAAAAAGAAAATAGCAAGGCGATGTAATTTGTGGGCGCTATATGTCATTTTTCACACTAATCAAAAGTGAAGCTGACTAGAAAGGGTTACTGAGTTGCATGACACCAGGTAACTGAGTAAATAGAACAGCAGATGAATTAAATTTTGATAAATGTCAAGTAATGCATACAGGAGAAAGAAAACGGTCGCAACGCCACATACGCAGTGGGCTCTTAGCTCACTCTGGTAACGTCTCCTTTATCCTCATGGGTGTTAAAAAAAGGAGGCAGGGAACATGAAGTAAATGCTGGGAATTGGCAAGATATAAATGAGGAATAAAACGGACGATACTGTCAGTGTATGAATTTTCACAGCCCTTCTGCATCATGAACACGGTGGTTCCGATCACAAGGGTATAAAAAGGTTACGAGATGAGGGGTGATCCAAGGTGTGGGGTGAGCCAAGGTGTTGAATGGCTTTTATTTGAGGAGATAGCAGGGGAGTTTGGAAAGGAGGACAGGGAGAAGGACTGTAATAATGATATTTAAAATGAGGAATGGTATGGAGAAGATAAATAGGAAAGATTATTTCGTGTTTCTTTTGCCATTACAACTAACAGGCACTGGGTGAAATTACCAGGCAGCAGGATTAAAGAGAAGGACATACATACATTTTCCACACACTGCACAATTAATTGTGCATCACCACCGCTGGCTTGTGGAGGTCAAAAATACGAATGAATTTAAAAAGGTGTTACGTAAATCGGTCAAGCAGCAGTTCCTCAAGGACTGCTAAACACAGGGTTGAGATTCAAACTCTGTTCCTGACCTAACCCACTTGGAGGGTGCGGGAGGCAAAGGATCACTGCGTGCTTCTGCTCCTAAGCGTTTGCTCCTCGCTCCTCGGAGAGTGGATGGACCTTCCACGTGACGTTGTGTGGCCTTTCCCTTTCCTACAGGAACGTATTTCCGGGTGCTCAGAGCCGAAGCGTAAAGCTGTGGAAAGCACCCCGGGGACATGGTCCTCTTGGGGATAAATGGGGTGTTCTGGGGAGTGTAGAGTCTGGAAGAAACAACGAAGTGTAAAGAGCATTGGCGATGACTGGCCATCGCGTAACGAGGTGCCGAAATGCAGCGTCCTCGATGGGGCTCCTGCAGTGGCCAGCGTGGCTCTCGATAAGTGCTGCAGCAATCCAAACGTACGGTTTGGAACAGCCTTTCCTTGCCAGGCTGTGCAGTCGGGGGGGGGGAGGGGAGCTGCAGAGGGAAGGGCTGGAGGGTCAGAACTTACCCTGGAGCCGCTCTTCAGACAAGGGTTGCCATTTGCTGAGCTTCTGCAGGCCACGTGTCTGCTGCTGATAATATTAATATATACAAGTGTTATTGAACAAAAGAATAGTAATAAAATACCAAACTTACAGCATATTCATTAAGATAATCAAGAAAAAGCAATGCAGACAGTATTTATGGGGATTTTTTTTGTAAGTCACAGAGAGGAAAAATGAATTCATTTAATTGAATTAATTTTCTGTTAGCATTACTAGGACGTTATAAAAATGTGGAGAGATTTGATAATATAAAATTACAGTTGTTCTGGAAGGTGTTAACGTTTTCCAAGGAGGAATGGTTAGAACTGAGCGGTAACTGCAGAGGAGTACAAGCTGCAGCCTGTGAGCCCTTACAAGCGAAGAAATTATTCAAAGTAACCTCATAAGCTAAGGACCTGCTGGTTTGATCTATGTGCTCTTACTGCCTCCAACAATGTATTTGCCTGCCCTGTGTTTCATAATCAAGGCCTGAATGCTAATAACCTGAAAAATGCAGCCTCTCTCCCGGTCTATTAAGCAGTACTGTGGTGAGCAGAAAACATTTTAAAATACTTTGCGTGCAGGAGCCCCTGTGAGCTGAGGGCATGCTGCGCTGGGAAACGGACGTGCGCTGCAGAGACGCCTACGGCGGTAAAAAGCGTAACTGGGAGCTGTGGTGCTTCGGGATGCTCTCAGGCTAGACGAGTGGAGGGGGCAAACACATTTGGGTCTTGTATGGGTGTAGGGCACGCATGGTGATGAAGGTAGGCGGGGAGGTTTACTGGCGGGCTTGCTGACTTCCCAGGCGCTGCACGCTGGCTCCCGAGTGCCTGCGGCGAGCTGCTCCGAGGCTGCTCCCCCATCGTCGTCTCCCACAGCACTCGCAGCCCCGGCACAGCTCTCTCTTCGGGTGGTTCCACTAAGTAGGATGGGTTCACTGATGAAATGCACAATAAACATTTTATTTTCTTTTTCCCTCCAGGCATTTTACTTTGCAAAGGGATAACTGGGTATTTATTTCCCTTTTTTTGTAATTCTACTGTGGAGTTGGAAATCTTAAGAGCCCCACACGTGGTATTTTTAGAACTAGCGTTCGTATTGTTACTGCCACGACATTTTTATCATTTAAACCGACACAAAAGTCTGAGCTGTTGTTCTAGTCAAGTATTTTGATCCCTTCAGAATCTGAAGCAAGTTTCTAAATGTTTAGATAACACCGAGATAAACATTTAGATAACATATCTAACTTAAACAAATGAAACATTTTATTAAATGTTTAGATAACATTTTAAATAAGTTTAGATATATTTGCTTATTTTCTGTGCGTAGTTTGACTCAAAGCTAAGGAAGAAGGCACTCTGTGAGAGACAATAGTTGGACATTGTCTAGTGGCAGAGCTAGAGACGAGATCTAAGGTGTGCACGGGGCATAGACCCAGCAGAGCAGATGATACCCAGGTCTGGAATGGCTTAAATGGAGCTCCCAAGGGGGAGGATGTGGGTGGGTGCGGGGGGAGGCTGAGCACCGAAATGCAGCGTCCTCGATGGGGCTCCTGCAGTGGCCAGCGTGGCTCTCGATAAGTGCTGCAGCAATCCAAACGTACGGTTTGGAACAGCCTTTCCTTGCCAGGCTGTGCAGTCCGGGGGGGAGAGGGGAGCTGCGGAGGGAAGCGCTGGAGAGTCAGAACTTACCCTGGAGCCGCTCTTCAGACAAGGGTTGCCATTTGCTGAGCTTCTGCAGGCCACGTGTCTGCTGCTGATAATATTAATATATACAAGTGTTATTGAACAAAAGAATAGTAATAAAATACCAAACTTACAGCATATTCATTAAGATAATCAAGAAAAAGCAATGCAGACAGTATTTATGGGGATTTTTTTTGTAAGTCACAGAGAGGAAAAATGAATTCATTTAATTGAATTAATTTTCTGTTAGCATTACTAGGACGTTATAAAAATGTGGAGAGATTTGATAATATAAAATTACAGTTGTTCTGGAAGGTGTTAACGTTTTCCAAGGAGGAATGGTTAGAACTGAGCGGTAACTGCAGAGGAGTACAAGCTGCAGCCTGTGAGCCCTTACAAGCGAAGAAATTATTCAAAGTAACCTCATAAGCTAAGGACCTGCTGGTTTGATCTATGTGCTCTTACTGCCTCCAACAATGTATTTGCCTGCCCTGTGTTTCATAATCAAGGCCTGAATGCTAATAACCTGAAAAATGCAGCCTCTCTCCCGGTCTATTAAGCAGTACTGTGGTGAGCAGAAAACATTTTAAAATACTTTGCGTGCAGGAGCCCCTGTGAGCTGAGGGCATGCTGCGCTGGGAAACGGACGTGCGCTGCAGAGACGCCTACGGCGGTAAAAAGCGTAACTGGGAGCTGCGGTGCTTCGGGATGCTCTCAGGCTAGACGAGTGGAGGGGGCAAACACATTTGGGTCTTGTATGGGTGTAGGGCACGCATGGTGATGAAGGTAGGCGGGGAGGTTTACTGGCGGGCTTGCTGACTTCCCAGGCGCTGCACGCTGGCTCCCGAGTGCCTGCGGCGAGCTGCTCCGAGGCTGCTCCCCCATCGTCGTCTCCCACAGCACTCGCAGCCCCGGCACAGCTCTCTCTTCGGGTGGTTCCACTAAGTAGGATGGGTTCACTGATGAAATGCACAATAAACATTTTATTTTCTTTTTCCCTCCAGGCATTTTACTTTGCAAAGGGATAACTGGGTATTTATTTCCCTTTTTTTGTAATTCTACTGTGGAGTTGGAAATCTTAAGAGCCCCACACGTGGTATTTTTAGAACTAGCGTTCGTATTGTTACTGCCACGACATTTTTATCATTTAAACCGACACAAAAGTCTGAGCTGTTGTTCTAGTCAAGTATTTTGATCCCTTCAGAATCTGAAGCAAGTTTCTAAATGTTTAGATAACACCGAGATAAACATTTAGATAACATATCTAACTTAAACAAATGTTTAAACATTTTAAATGTTTAGATAACATTTTAAATAAGTTTAGATATATTTGCTTATTTTCTGTGCGTAGTTTGACGCAAAGCTAAGGAAGAAGGCACTCTGTGAGAGACAATAGTTGGACATTGTCTAGTGGCAGAGCTAGAGACGAGATCTAAGGTGTGCACGGGGCATAGACCCAGCAGAGCAGATGATACCCAGGTCTGGAATGGCTTAAATGGAGCTCCCAAGGGGGAGGATGTGGGTGGGTGCGGGGGGAGGCTGAGCAGGGCAATTAAGGCCATTTTAGAGAATGCAGGTGGCCGCTGTGGCCAGGAAGATTGCAAGGATTTTTATGAAAGTGAGTTCAGTGAAGCCCATCAGAAAATGAGATTTGGGGTTCTGAGCCTGGGGAAGAGATGGCCGTCCGGCAGCGGGGCAGCAGGAGGAGGCAGCGGATGCTGGGGGTACTGGAGAGCCACCCCCCGAGCCGCCTGGGTGAGGCTGACCTTCGTTTCCATCAGCTCTGACTGCAGCATGCCAGACCCTGCTGCAGCCAAAGAGCTGGAGCTCTATCCGTTCGCTTGAATTATTCTTCTGTTAATAAGATGAGCCTGAAGAAAATATTCCTAGGCTGAGTTGCCTTTTGGGACTGCGTTTTGTGTGTCTTGGCTGGGGTGTTGCTCTGACTCACTCCAGACTTTTTCCTCTTTTTAAATAGTGGAAATAGCGCTGTAGAGTTAATTTTTTTATATATAATTAGGTATAGAATAATGAATGCTGCGTAAAGGAACCTGCTGATTTAATAATCTGTTCAGCATTGCAGAAAATTAGTGATTTTAAAAGTATATCATTAAATATTCTCAGGTACCATTTCCTTCCAACTGCAGCAGAATGAAGCTTTTTTTTTTTTTTGCATGTATTACAAGTTTGTATTTTTTTGCAAACATTTGAATACAGAACTTAAATTAGCCCAGACTTTCAGTATGTACTTTAAAAACTGATTAACATGCTCCATCTGTTGGTAAGCTGAGCAACTGTCAAAGCGAGCAGCAGAGCCTACCAACATTTCCACATAGACTTGTCAGCCTGCAAGTGAAGTGGCAAGCTATTAATACCAAAATAGCACTCTGGCAGGGGAACGGGGGGGGGGTGGGTTCAATACGATCGTTCCAGCTCGTGGATGAGAGAGATGCTTGGAGTGCAGCTGCCTTGCAGGGCGGCTGCCGCCCCCGCAGCGCTGTGGCTAGTGAGCGTGTCGGTCGCCCATTTCAAGAACAGTGGTTTAGGGAGCCCCCGTCGCGTTCCGTTTCAGCGCGTTATGCGTAGCTGTGAGTGCTCCTTATGGAGCATCCTCCTGAGATCTGTCTCGGGGTGGGGTGGGTTGCCCCCCGTGCGGTCACAGGCTGGATTTCTGTCAGCTGCAGAAAGGCGTGTATCGCAGAAACGTGAATCTTTGAAACCCCTTATTTGCCATTTCTGGGTTGAGCAGCTACTGATACTTTGGTTACCGTTGTCCGATTGGTTTGTCTGCAGGTTTGAGAGCAATAACTTTTATGGTTTGTTCGCATAAACCTGGGGCGCGGGTAAATTACGTATTTTAATTAAACTCAGCAGCAGTCTATCCCCAAGTCAACGCTGTAAATGTGTGTTCAGATGAGCGTATCTGGCAGTGCACACTCACACAGCAGGCAGCAGAAGAGCGAGACGTTTCCTCCTGTTAAAGCAAAACAGCACCGCATCAAGATGAGGTAGTGACATACAGTGATAGATCACAGGCAAACCAGCCTGCCAGTACACCCTACCACCTGACACGGGGTTGGGGTCACTGTATGCTTTCCTGACAACTCTTCCTTCATTTGAGATTTTATCAAAACTCATTACAGCAAGGAGGCAGATTAAGCAATGGTTTGAGGTTTATTAATGACATCTGTCTTGGGAGAGACTGCGTGGCTTTCGAGGGTAAAATGATCTGCCTTGTCAAAATCACAAATGGCTTCCACCGCTTTCCGAAAGCTCAGGTGCTGCTTCCCTTGTATGGCTCTGGAGGAAGGATGGAGCAGCAGACGGCTACCGCTAGAGAGTGCATAAAAAGAAGAGGAAAAAGCTACAGAAGCTCAGATCTTCACACCCAGGCACACGTGCGTACCTGCGTGTATATGCCCATGTCTCACGTGTACATTGGAAGAAAGCGATGCATATCACCCAGCCAAATTCTGTGCTGCTGCTTTTCCTGCCTTATTTTTAGTTAGTTTGCTGTATTTGAATGACTGTATAGAGACTCCTATCGTGTATCAAAAGCATCTTCTATCCTTGGAGTAACGGCAAGAAGGGGAACTACCCAGCGTGAGGTCCGACGGGCAGCCCATCGGTTCAGGCTTCTCTTTTTAGTGCATCCCTGGGTAGATTTACTCAGCAAGGTGTCATTTTATAGGGATTGGGGGCAACAAGCAGTAGGAGTTAAAGCTATGCAAACCCAGTCAAATACAGGGGAAAAAAAAAAAAAGAAAATAGATGGGAGGGAAAGCTAGAAAGAAAACAGAAGAGTGGGGGAAGAAAGACTGAATGGATTGTGATAGCTGCGTCAAGGTAGGGAGTAGTGGCAGGGGGGTCCAGGAGGCACAGAAGCACTTTCTTGGTTCTGAGCTTGATTCGTAAGCATCTCAGCTACATCTTTCCCATCTCTGAAATAAAATGTAACTTTGGCTGCAGAGGATAATTAAGGCATGTTGATTTCTGAGGAAAATGTTTGCTTTTCTTTCTTAAGGGGAGAGATGGCACTTGGAACAATTGAAAAGAAGGCGCGATAGAATCAGTACTTTTTTATATAGCTGAAATGGTATTAAATTGATTTATGGACATCTTGAGATTTAGAAATCTTTCTGAGAATACGTCATTTGGAGTGAGGTATCAGAGTCAATCTCTTATAACGTGTTGCATTGGGAAAACAAGCCAAGGGAGGTCTGGGATGGACTCGTCAAATGGCAGCACCTTCTGAAGAAAAACTCCTCTAAAGAGTACACCTGCATCCAGGGAATAGTGTTTGGCTGGAAGCTCCTACTCGGGTCAGGAGCGGAAGCACATCTGTTCACGAGAAGCAGCTGGGGAGATTCAGTGCAGAGTTTGGCATTTTGCAAAAAGGTGTTTTCTCTAAATAGCTTTTCCACGTAAGTTTGTTTTCTTGTTCAAGGGAAGCAGTCGCAGTCACGTATGCAGCTCTGAGGGGCCTGTGGAATTCCTTTAATAACAGATGACATTTGCAGCAAGGATAAAACCCACAACCGTTGGCAGGAACTCCTACAGGAGCAAATAATTATTGAAAAGGCAAAGCATTGATTTAGGCTCCCTGTTGGCGATGCAATACCCGAGCACCGTCTGTGTGGGAAACGAACACTGCACTGGCAGTGGCTTTGTACCTGAGCTTCGGAGAGGAGCGGCGAGGGTGGCTGCTCTGCTCAGCTCCTCCCAGAGGAACTCCTGGGAGATGCAAACTGAACTGGGCAGGTGCCAAGAGACAAAAATGCCCCTTTTTCCCCTAGAGCAAGAGTGCTTGTAGAAAGGGGCGAGCATTGCTGCTTCCAGATCTCCCTGCAAAGAGACGAACGCCAAAGGAGCAGAGCTGCAGCCCGGTCCGAGTGGGGCTGGTAAAGAAGGCAGGCTGGGGTGCCCGGCTGGAGCGGGCCCCCGGGGTGAGATCCAGATCTGCCTAACGGAGTAAATTACGGGCTGCCCCTCAGAACAGTGCTTGTGAGCATTCCCACGTATGCCTGGGAAGCTTTCAGAAGGGAACGTCACTCCGTGCCCCGTGCAGGAGGAGGAGAGCTGGTTGTAAACCCTGCAGACAGCCCGGAGGAGACAAAAAAATACCCGTGGAGATGGGTGTAGCTGTGACCCCTGAGGAGGTGGAGAAAGCTTTTGGGGATTCCCTGCTTCTAGAGGGAAAAGGTTGCAGGCGCCGTGAGAGGCAACTGTGGCTCAGCAAGAGCGAAGACAAGGATTTTGGTGCAGTGGTGGCGTGGGTCTTTTGTCTCACGGCGTGGCTGTGGTTTCGCGAAACATTCCTCTTCAATTACTCTTTTGTTTTGTTGCTGGGGAACACAAGCAGAGAAGGAAAATAATAATTTAAATTTAACTCTGCTAAATATAAATGAGATTCCATGGGACAAAGAAAAGACTTCTCTAGCTTGAGGGGGTGTTGCTGTGCCAGATTTCAAAGGCCCTACTACAGCCAATAAAATTCTTGGAACAGCTTAGGAAAAAAACTGTAAGCGTTTTTATCAAATTTTTTTAGGCAATGCAAATACAGCCGTTGCCTCCAGGAGTGCATATGATCGTTCTGGAAGTCCCACACCAGTACATCCGTGTGTTGCTAATTGCTGCTGGATTGATTTGTGGGAATTAGAGAGAGTCCAGGATCATACACGTTTCAGGCCATACCCTTTAAGTTTTGAGAAATTTTATATGTTACCTCACTTTCCCCGGATGATTATGGTCACATTCTATACATTTAGCTATTCCAAGGGCAGGTTCTCTCTATTTTTGCTCTCCTCAGGACAATGAAGCCCTTTCCCAACTCTGGTTGCTGGAATTGCCTTCATATCAAGACTGCATCTGCAAGATTATGCTTGTAGACTTAATTTAACTCTTATTTCAGGAGGTTCAGAAAGATTGTAGACAATTCTCCATTATATAAGCATGTCTTATTCAAAAAACCCCCTTCTGTCTGGTACACTGTGTTATACTGAGGTACTTTTTGATAAATGGGTGTTGGTTTCAAACAGACTGTCATGAAACATCTTTTAAAAAAGATTAATTTGATAATATGAGTGCTGCTACAATAGTTGGATTTATGAAGTGGTTGGGGTGGTGGCAGGTTTATGTTTGTTGTTGCCTGTACTAAATTTAATAATGGCTTGGGGCCAAGATTTTAAGCCATTTAAGCATCCCCAGCTTCATCAGGGAACCTTCTGCTCTATACACCAAAAAACCCATCAGTTTTGCCATATGTAAAGGTTCACGTCACAAAATCTCTCTTTATTGCTTCTGGAACCAGTCCTATAAGGAGCGCTGCTAAGTCGCCGGGAACCGCATAGGAGCTGGGCATATCCTGCATTTCACAGACTAACGCACCCGCTTGTGGAGCTCGGGTTGAAATGTGCCCAGTGCCCTGCCCGAACTCCTGTGGTACAGAGGGGCTCTGTGCTCTGCCCACCGCAACGGGACCCTAAGTTTTAAAGATTTTTTTTTTTTTTTTTTTTTTTTTTTTCCACTCCAGCTGCTGAGAGCTGGTCTGGCGAGGAACAGTTGCATCTTGGAGAGGTGATCTGACGTCTTAGTCCGCAGCGCCTGCTGGCTGTGCCCCCGCCTGGCATCAGCACTAGATGGTGCCAGGCACCGCCGCGCGAGGGATAGCAGATCCAATTGCACAAGCACCGAAGCAAGACTTTCCATCTGTATTGAAGAGCTATAAAACTCTGCTGCAAGCAATGCTCATCAATTAAGGCATAAGTACTAGGTTAAGATAAAATCAGCAATTAAGGCCAAACGCTTATTAGGGATTAAGAGATTCAATGAGAGCTCACTGGGCCGTGAGGAGTAGTGCTGGAGCCTGGCTAATTCTTTCGCTTTTCCCAACACACCCCCAAATGGCTGCTGCTGTTTACCACTCGTGCTCTGGGAGACAACTGGAAACGGCAATTCTGAGGGAAGAGCTCTGCAACGCAGAGTACAAGCCAGCGACTAAGATCCGTGTATCTGAGTGCAGGAATACCGCTGTCTCGATAGGCCAATTCCTTCTGCTGTGTGCACACCTCGTTCAGTTTGCGGTGATGATTCCTGGTTTAGGTGGGTTTGGGGTTTTTTTTGGAGACCAAGGCAGCCACAAACTGAGCGTCAGAGATTGTTGCTCTGTGTGTCAAACCATGACCTGAACTTGAAAGATGCTTTTGTATTTTAAGTATATTTTAAGAGTGCCTTTCTTTGTCATAAACAAAAAAACCACAAGTTATTATTACACGATGTGGATTGGAAAGCACTCGTTATCATACTTGAGAATCTCATGTATTTATTTCTTCACAGTCGAAACCCCAGGATTTTAATGATAAACTACTGATCAGAATTTTGGCAGATTTTCTTTATTGCTCTAAGAGGAATTGGCACTCCAGTATAGGAAAAGCAGGAGTTTATTGAGCTGAGGACTAGAAGAGCTGTCTGTGTGCATTGTGCATTAACATTTCCAATTATATGAAATGTGTGCATTTCTAATTTAATTTACGTGTCAATAAAATAGCAGCCATTGCAACAGTTGGCATTTACTGCCCCTCCGGCACAGAGCTGTGCTCAACCCGACTCCCGGTATGCTCGTCACCTAATACGGGGGTCCTCTTCCCTGGGACTTCGCTGGTCTGGGGAGCACAGACAGCCTGGGCAGGGGAGGAAAGGAAGGAGAAAAGAGGGAACTGCAGCAATCTCCCAGCTCACTGATGCGCCTGGGTACGGATCAGGCGGGTATGGTTTCCTGGAGATGCTGGAGTCCTTCCTTAACAGGATAGGGTGCAGACTTCAAGGTGGACTAGGTGACTTCCCATGTCCCTTCCAGGTCTGTTAATCGCTGTAGTAAAATCCTGGTCTCTAATCTTAAGGAAAATGGAAGTGGACATAGTGTAGATGCTCCCCCAAAGGCAAAAGAAATATCAAGCCAGGTTAAGGAGAAGCTGACACAGGTCAGAAACGTGATACGTTTTCAAGAGCAAGTTGTTCTGTTAAGTCCAGGGAGGTGCTTGCGTCCTTGGGAGTTAGAGCTGGCCTGAAGTACCAGGTCTGTCCAGGGCAGTGAAAAACTGAACAGTCTTTGATGTGCTAAATTAGGTTACAAATTATTTAAATAATGCTTCCAGAGAAAACTCCAATGTCCTTACCACTGTGAATATGACTCTTCCTACTCTTGCCTTTGCTCCCTGTCCTCTGCCCCACGCTCGCTTCAAATTTTTCCTTGCTCTTTAAGTGCCAAATTGCTTCCCTCCCATCACTCCATTTTATTTTTTTTTTTAAGCGTTCAGTCCAATTAAGCCCTCTGAGCCAAGAGATGCAGAACAAGAGGGTCAATTGTGCTCCCACTTCCATGGGGTGAGCCCGGAGTAACTCCAGTGCATACACTGCAGTAAATTTCCATTAGCTTCAGCAGAGTCGCTCTGGACCAGCAGTTCAGGGTGAGCTGCCTCGGAGCATCAGAAGGGCACTGGAGAGAAGCCGCTACCGCGAGGAGCTTCTCACGGGGAGCTCTTACAGGAATGAGAAAAGGAAAATGCCGTGGGAGACAGCTAGGCTGCCTCATTACCAGCAGCATGCCCTTGTGAATGCTGCTGTGGAGGGGGCGCATGGTGTCAGGCTCTGTGTGGGAGAGGAAAGGGGGGACAGATGGACGTAGGGAAGCGTCTTGAACGGCCGTAGCTGCTTTCCCTCTCTGGGAAGTACCTTCACTGGTGTCCCCCTGCCTTCCTTTACAGTGCCCGT